ATTGAAGACCCCTTCTTAGCAGGGAAAACACTTCCAGAAAAAGGGAAAAAGTTAAAAAGTAAGCTGAGTGAGTCAGAACGAAGAAAAGTCAGCTAGTTTATCTTTAAAGCAGCCACTGCTAAATTTCTTATCTGAACAAGTTTCCTGCTTTTCCCAGAGTTCTGGACTATTGAGAATATAGTTGACTAACACCCCTGCTGGGTCAGTGAACGCTCTGAGGTAATAACAGTCACAGAAGATGCTGTGGCAAGGCCTGGAAAGATACATTAACTAGGCCGTTTCCTGTCCAGTTAATAGTCAAAGCAAATACCCACTGTGGAGATGTGTATTATTACTGGGGCAGAGATTAAGGGAACAGCTCAAGCCCTGAAATATGGGTAGGAGGGCTTGTATCCCTTACCGCAGAGGAAGATCCTCTGGTGGTGATGAGGGGAAAACTCCTCTCTCCCATCAGTTCTTTAGAGGAGATTGATGCCAGCTTACCCTTTGGGCTAATGAGCAAACAGCCTTCAATAAAAGCTGAGTGGAACTGACATTTGAGGCCACCATGAGAACCCCACAAGCAGGTGGCAGTCCCCTGGGTTCCCACCTTTGAAAATTCTATTCTGTGTGTCTTGTCTCTTTCTTTCTCATCATTTCTAACTTTATATTTCTTCATTTGGTTGCTGCCAGATCCACAGGTCTTAATGGACCTTGCCCCCAGGGCAGGACCCCGGCAATTGAAATTCTTCTCACATAACAGAGATTTCAGCAGATGCTCAAAACCAAGCCTTCTCCCTGACACTACTTCTCCCATAGTTTCTTGTCTCAGTGACACCCTCACCTCAATAACTGTTTAAAACTGGGGGCCACAGGAAAGGCAGCTCAGCCTTTGGGGGAAGCAGCTGACTCTTCCTGTAAGCTCCATGGGCATAGGTGAAAGGGACATGTACTTTCTGATGAAAGCCAGAACATGGAGCCTTGGTAGGAGCTGTCTTGCCCTCACTCCTAATCTGGGCACTAAGAACAAGAAACTCCTCCATGTGACTGCCCTGCCTGACACTAATCCCAGTGCTTGGCATGGTGCAGGCACACAGTACACGCTGCAAAAGAAACACGTGGCTAAACATATAGTACCTTTGAGCCATTTCTCAAGCACTTAATACATGTTGGCATTGTCTAGGAATTTTAGAGAATATTTAATCTTTATACCTACTGCTGATGCTGGTGTTACCCCTCCTCCTTGGGGCTGCATAAACTGAGGTTCAGAGAGATTAAGTGCCTGGTCTAAGGACCACAGTGATCAGAGATCCTGGCCCCAGGTCCACCTGACTCTCAAGCCTGTGTTCATCCCAATAACCTAAGAGGCTTGAGAGAGGCCACTGGAAAACAACCAGCCTGGCAAGTCCCATCTTCATCCTGCTGTGTGGAGTGCATGAAGGATCTGTAGAGCTTAGCGCTGAAGCATCTGACGCCTCTCACAATCTGTGATTTACTGAGCCCGTTCCTGAGCTAGCTTAATCGGGCATATTTAAGGGGAGGAAAGGGGCGGGTCCACTGAAGCAACATAAGTATGTCTTCTTTAAAGAGAGTGAGATGTGTGTCTGTGTGGGAGAATGCCCCAGATCCGTATTAGTGAACAAGAGATGGCTAAGAGGAACCTGCCTCTGATGCTTCGAAGTCGGGAGTAAAATATTTGCATTGTGCCCAGTACAAGCCTAATTACTAAAAAGTACCAGAGTTGCAGAGCACTGGTGCACCCAGAGGGCCTGGCTGACAGGCACCTGGCAAGGTCTTCTTGAACCCCCAGGAGCAGAGGTATGCTGGAGTCAGCTTAACAAGCTCAAACACCGATTATGCACATCTCTCCCCAACTCACAACCAATGATGTCATCACGGAAGCTTAAAATTGACCATGGTAGAAGAATTTATACCACAGAAGTTGGCAGATGCTCCAAATCAGGTTTCCCCTCTCCCCAGCGTTGGGGGAGTTGACTGTCAAACATTTACCTTCGCACTACTGGTGAGTGTCCAAGCAGCCACCATTACCAGCAAGCTTCCAGAGTGCACTGGAGACCACTCAAATGCCATGGACAATACTGTGGTAACATCCCCCAGAAACCCACACAGAACAGCCTGTCTGACCTGGGGACTCTCAGTTCCTTCCAGGCCTTTGCCCACCTCCTCTGCAGCACTGCACTCACACCCTCCCACACCCTGTGGCATGGCAGGCAGGAGGCTTCTCTAGCCAACAGGTGGCTTTGCAGAAGTCTCAGTGTGACACTGTTCAAATGCAGTTGTGAACAAGGAATCCTGCATTGAATTTAAGGAGACTAAAACATCATTTTGAGGAAATCATATTTATTCATACTTTTTTACCATGTGATTATTTTAAAATATTTTTTTGATTTCTAAGACATTAGAAAACCTACGAAGGTATTTTTGGAGGAGTAGAGAGAACTATTTGAACTATTTGAAATTAATCTAAAGAAAATGAAAAATTCCAATGCTACCCAATAATTCAGCATTTCCCAACACAGCAGTTCAAGACAGTTTCACATCCTCCTGCCTTCCTTACCTGTGGTAGATACAAGGACAGTGTGAACTTTGCGCTTCTGAGATTTCTAACCTGTGTTCACACTCCATCAGCTATCTGGTTCCAGAGACTATTCTCCCACCAAAGCACAGTGTCTCTTTAAAAGCCAAGTGACATGTAGTTGTCTCCTTCTTTAACATGTCTCTTGAAGGGGACTGGGGCATAGACATCCTAACGTGCACATACACACACATGCGCACAGACACACACAGACATGCAAAGATACACACACGCATAGACATACGTCTGTGCATGCTGCACAGTCAGCCCTTTGCATCCATCAGTTCATTACATCCACAATTCAGCCAACTGCAGATAGAAAATATTAAAAACAAAATATAACAATAGAACAACCAAAAAAATAAAAAACACAGTATAACAACTCTTTCCCTAGCATTTGCACTGCATTAGTTATCATAAGCAATTTAGAGATGGTTTCAAGTGTACAGGAGGATGGATGGAGTTTGTAAGCAAGTACCTGTGTACTACACCACTATTTATCTCAGGGCCTTGAACACCTGCAGGTTTGGGTATCCACAGGAGGTCCTAGAACTAATGTCTTGGATCTCCAGGGATGACTCTGTGTGTGTGTGTGTTATGTGTGTGTGTGTGTGTGTGTGTGTATCTGAAAGAAGAAGATCAAAAACACTCCTGCAAAAATCAAACATCAAACCCAGACCCTGTCAGGGAATGCCAATTGATTATAGAGAGTCTTAGAAAGGTAACTAAAAACTGAGGGCATGAACCGGTTCTACCTCAGCACATTTTTCTGCAGGGCAATGATGAAAGGTTGGAAGCATGGGGCAATGACAGAATCATCAATCAGATCCCCACACCTGTCCCAGCAGCCACAGTAAACGTCTGTGTCCTGCCAATCCAATCCAAGAGTATGAAGGATTTGAAGAACAATCTCTAGCCTACAACTCTTAGCTATTTACTGGAGCTCTAAGCCAATCTATTCTCCCCTCTGTGATTCCAGGATGTGGGGATTGTAAAAATAATTCAATGGCCCCAGAAGCCTTATACCTTACATAGTCTAAGGATAAAAAAAAAAAAAACCTGAAAAAAAGAAGATCATTGCATGCATGGACTCTCTCATCAACCATGTAATGGCTGCTACCAACCCCCTCCTGCAGGTGAACGTCCTACAGGGGAGAGGTGAAGTCACTTGCTCAGGATGGCACCCCTAAAGAAGAAGAATGAAGGTTCCAGCCAGGGCCCTCCCTACTACCCGATCCTGCTGCCCAGCTCCATAAAACTGCCATTAAGTAAATGAGAGGCACATGCTTACCATTACCCTAGATGGTTGGATTTAAAATTATCCTGAGTTTTCTGTGCTGCTCATCTATTTCTGTGCATTGGCCCTGTCACTGAAAGTGCTGAAGGATGTAGTCGATTCATTTGTTTTACATTAAGATGCATTTCATGGCTATTATGGCAAGCAGAGCTTCATGCTGAATCAAAAGCTCTGAGCACCCCCAGCTGCAGCAGCTGACAATTCCACATCTCTGTTTACTGGAGGCAGATTTCTAAAACCATCTTCAGCTCCAAATAGCCACAGGGCTCAGGAAAGAGCAGCAACTAACATAATGCATGCTGCAATCATTATTTAGTTGAATTATCAAGGAGCAGATATAAATACAACCACATTTCTCTGTATGGTAAAACCATACGAGCTAAGCCCTCTCAAGAGGGAATATGTGCTTATTTATTGAAAAAAGCAAAAAAAAAAAAAAAAAAAAAGCCCAACCTCAAACTTTTTAATAATATTAGAGGTTTTCATCAATTCTCATTGGTTTAAAAGTTCTACAATATTTTTTCTTTTCTTTTCTGGATGAATAAGCAATCTGAGTACTCAATAAATATTTTTAGATGATCTAAGAAAAGTTCACCTATCAGTATATAGGTATATGCTAGTAACAGCACTAGTTATAACTGCAAGGAAAGAAACATCTGGAAACTCCACAAAGTTGAGTATCAGAATTGTTAAAGTACTTCCATTTGATGTCGCATTACAGAAAGTCCTTAGAAATTATAATTAGGAAGACAGTATATCAAAGAAAACCAAAATGTTCCTGTTAATCAGTGGTAAGAAAGAACACCTTGAACTTTTATCTATGCAAAGTTCACGCACAGACGAAAACTGGGAGGCAATGTGGACAGAGGAACGCTGTCGGGGAGGGGAGAAGAACACACAGTCTGGTCTCACTTCTGTCGTTTTAGACTTCCATCACGGTGATTATAATCTCAACCAGCCAATAAATAATGCTGGTAAATAATGATGATATAAATAATGATGACAGGATGACGGTAAGAACAACGATGATGAAAAACTAACACAACCGAAACGTTCTTGCAGCAGCCCTTCCTGCGGGGACTTGGGCTGGAAGGAGCTGCAAGACCCCGCATGCCGCACCCCACCTACCTTGCTGGATGAGCACTTCTGTGGCCAGCTCCCCAGTGCCGGCGTTGGCGTACTCCTCGTCCGGGTGCTTCCTGTTGTAGTGACGCTTCAGAGAGCCGGAGATGTTGCAGGAGTAAGGGCAGTGGGCACAGCGGAAAGGCTGCAGAGATGAGGAGCAGGGTTAGGAAGGTGTGAGCCTGAGGTCTGCCTTCACCGCTTCCCCACCTGCTGAGTGCCCGACGCCCCGAGAGCCTGTGATGAATCCTTGTCACCTGTGGTATACTTCAAGGAAAACCACTGGGACAAGAATGCAGAGTCCTCTGCAGCGACCACCCAAGTGACCAGGACAAGATAGCCCCAGAGTAGGAGTTGTCTCTGCTGAGTTTATTTTTATTGTTTCATTTCTTTTCTTCTTTCATTCACTCCAGAATTTATAGTTTTTGTTCACGAAGAAGATAATAAAAACAGGAATATAGTAATCTTTCTCTTTTTTTCAAGGAGTGCCATTAAAAGTAGCTCCCTTCATAATTCATTGCCTGATACACTGCCAAGTACCACAGAAAGATATTTTGTTCATCAATGAACCAAATATATGACGGTGATTAGAGCAACCAGCTGTACCCCACTGCCTGTGTGTGCAGCAGGCCGAGCCACCTAGGTCTGTGTGAGCATGCTCTGTGATGTTTGCACAATGACAAAACGGCCTTAGGACACGTTTCTAGGACACATCCCCATCATTAAATGATGTGTGACTGGACTTACTTCTTCAGCTAACTGACTTCCTCTGTGGTATTTAGCTGCATACACAAGCGTCAGCCATTAGGGAAGTCCTTCTGGTAAAATCCATCTCACACCCCCACCTATGCAATACAAGGCATTTCAGGAAAAGTTCCCAGATGGGTTACATAGCCTTGCACACTGCTTCATGGGCTTCATAAAGAAGCAGGGAGCCCAGGACACCTGGGCCATTGGCTTCTGGTCAGGAAGTTATCAGCACACCCTCCCAGGCCACATGCTGGGGGCATTCCAGGCCTGTTTGGTAATCCAGTAGCCCATCAATACTCTGGAAGGGGCAGGGGGCAATGGAACCAGTCTAACCACACCTCTATCCCTGACCAAGGATGGAAACTTATCTGAGCGCTGACCTTTTCATCAGGAAGACAGGATAACACCTACCATGTAAGGCTGTGGTGAGAACTGAAGGGCAGCATATGACTTGGTAACTAAGACACCATACAAAGTGCTTGTTGTTTTAGCAGCAATTTTATACCAACTCCCGCATGCTGTCTGGGAGCTGAGGACCGCTGCATCTATTAAGACTTCAAACACTGCGTGGGCTCCTCAACCATCCTACTCCTCAGTCCTTGCCCCACTATTGCCCTTAGGAGCTAAATCATCATAGCGATGTCTGAATGTAAACTGCACCAATAATAGGAGACAATGCCCTCTCATCTTTGTAGCTTTAATCAGCTCCTCTTTCAATCGTTTCTTGCTTTTAAGTCTACAAATGCAAATGTTCTGAAGTCTTAAGAGACAGACACACAGAGAGAGACAGAGAGAGAAGAGGGAGGAAGGGAAGAAAATGAAAATGAAACCTTTCAGCCTGCCCCCTGCCTTTGGTCACACTTCCTCTTACACTCCTGGTCCGCCGTACCCTCAAAAAGCAGTTTCTGTCTCCAGCCGTCACAAGTCACTGTGCTTTTTCAGGCCACTGAGTTTCCCTGCAAACAACTCCTGGAGGTCTCCCTTCTCGGACCTTATGCCTCCCCACCATCTCCTCTGGCTGCCTGCCCCCTCCCACAGTGATATCTATGACACTGTCATACTGCCATCACCAGGCTCTCCTGCCAGGGCTCAGCTTCTTGGGTTTATTTACGAGATCTGCTTCCCAGACCTGAGGTTAAATGCTGGCTCTCTCCTAGATGCTGTCCTCAGGCCTGTTTTGTTCTTCTGTCCTGGTTCTGACAATCATTTTTGCATTATTGATTGCTGGGTCTCAGTGTCCAGTTGTGACCTCTCCCCCAGGGTCACAAACAGGAATTTTCAACTGCTTCCAGACATCCTAGAAGGAGGCTCTGCAGTACCTCAAATAAATACATGCAATTTCAGGCTCACACTTCTCTGCAAAATCAGCCAGGGCTTCTGTCCAAAGCCCAGCAGTCAGCCTCAGCTTTCCCTTCTCTCCTGCCATTTAGCTAATCACTGCATCTTGTCCAGTCTTCCTGGGAAACCTCTGCAGACATCCTGGCCCTCAACATCTCTCTCTGCAGCATAGAGAATGTGCCATCTCATCCTGAAAAGGGAGCACTGTGACCTGCAGGAGGGCCACTGTCAGAGAGAAAGTCCCAGGGCAGTTAGGTTAGCCGACCTGCTTTGAAACATTCCACTGGGACTTTGCCCTACGCCAAGGCCTTGCTTTGGATACAGATACCTTGTGCTACGCGGTACCTGCCACATTCCTGCATCCACTCCTTCATGTAAGAGGATCCTTGTGGTTTGGTCCACAGGGTTTACAGAACAAAACGTCCTGGAACAAAGGCAGAATGAGTCAGGCTTTCTCATCTGTCTACTGAACAGAGAACAAAAGGACCCAAGTTCCAATATATGATTATTGGAAAGTTAAAGGTAAACCATTTCCAAATGCTTGCTTTCATCTCTAAATATTACAACACTATTTTTGGAATGTTATCATTTTACAGAGAAATCAAAAAGGAATGCTGAAAATGCTACAGGGCCATTGTCGGCCTGTCCATGGGCTAAGCGGCCGGAGGAGAAGCCTGATAAGAATAAGACTTGATCCTGCAGACCTGGCTCCAGACTTGAGAGCCAATTTTGCCCAAATCACAGGATCAACTACATGGCCAAGATCCACTGGAAACACACAGCAAAAATGCATGCAAAATATAAAATCACATCATATAAAAATTAAATGCTAAAATCACACTCCATACCTTTCTTATTAAATCTCTTATCTTATTCATAAGTATTTCCTGAGCAGCTATTAGGTGCTAAGCATTATGTCAGGAACCAGAATTGAGACTGGCCTGGGTCCCACGCCTGTGGGATTTCCACTGATCATATTTTCCCCTTTGATCACATTCACCATCTCCCACCATTAACATCTCACCTCTTTCCTCCCCACTCTAGGTCTTTGAAGGCCAGGCCCCGTGGTAACTTCGTTCCTGGAAGGCCTGCCTGGTCTGGACCTGCCGGTCTCTCTGACCACACCCCTCTCTGTGGTCATACTCACTCACTAGGCTCTAACCACACTCAATCCTGTCTCATCCTTACTCTCCCTCTGTCCAGAACACCCCAACAGCAGATTTAGGGAGGCAGCTGTGTTTTAGAACAAAGTCAGGTCCCCTAACTGGCCTCCTCACTTAGTCTTAACCTTTTCATTCTCTCTACAACTAGTATCTGTATCAGCCCCCTAACTCAGAGCCTTCAAGGTCTGCCTAGAGCCTACAGAGAGATCCAGCTGACCTGCCCACACCTCACTGTGACACCATCCAGGTGCATGCGAGATACTGCATAGAAGAGGGGCACGTACAAACGTCCAGCTGAGCTGCACACGCCTCTCTGTGACACCTGCTGGGGATATCCCAGAGAAGGGGCTTGTTCAAAGGCCCAGCTGACCTGCACACACCTCTCTGTGATACCTGCTGGGGATATCCCAGAGAAGGGGCTTGTTCAAAGGCCCAGCTGACCTGCACATGCCTCTCTGTGACACCTGCTGGGGATATCCCAGAGAAGGGGCACGTACAAAGGCCCAGCTGACCTGCACACACCTCTCTGTGACACCTGCTGGGGCTATCCCAGAGAAGGGGCATGTACAAAGGTCTAGCTGACCTGCACACGCCTCTCTGTGACACCTGCTGGGGATATCCCAGAGAAGGGGCACGTACAAAGGTCCAGTTGACATGCACACACCTCTCTGTGACACCTGCTGGGGATATCCCAGAGAAGGGGCACGTACAAAGGCCCAGCTGACCTGCACATGCCTGTGACACCAGCCAGGTGCATGTCCAAACTCATTCCACACCAACCCACTCCTCCAGCTTCCAGACATGTGTTGAAGCTATTCCTTTTGCATTAAGAGTACCCCCCACTCTCTACTTGGCTAACTTCTAGGACAACTTTGGGGACATGGGAGGCTCTTGTTGCCCCTCTGGAGGTCTTTGCATGGCGTTTTTTGCAAGCATCCATTTCTGCCCTTCTGACCTTGCTTCTTTCTACCAAGTTCCTTGGGTCAAGCTCTCAATATCCTCAGCAAAGAATTTATTGATTCTAATACTACATGACACCAAAGCAAGAAGGGGAAATAGTTATTTTAGAGAAACATGTCATGAGACTGAAAATCCCCCAAACTTGTCTGAATGAACAAGCTGATCAAGTTGGATTCAATGCTGACCCATTCATTCCAAGCCTTAGACTGCCAAAGCACAAATCATGGGATTATACTGTATGAACATAGACCCTCTCCACTTAAAACAACACTTCCTTGTATGCTTTAAAAAAAACCAACCCTATTATGCTTTACAGATTTGATCCAAACTTGATGGATTCAACATTTTCTTTACCCCACTTACTGAAAATGTCTCTACATTGTCTGTAGTTCCCAAGGGCAGAAATGTTCACCAGACAACCTCCTATTCATTCTTTAACAGTCTTAGCTCACATGTTAACCCCAGGTCCATCCTGAAACCTTCCCTAACTCCCCAGGAAGATACAAGGGCTCCTCCCCCTCTGCCCTTGCCACCCCCTCCCCCCCGTGAAGCTGTACCCCCCTGCTAATGGGCAACTGTCATCTGTATGGCTATCCACCTCACACACACCAGGCTGCAAGACCTCTGAGAGTAGAGTCCAAACCAGAACACATTCGTCTGTGCTTCCCTGGCAGCCAGAGTGTGTCCAGCACAGTGAAGACCCTAAGGCAGTGATCTGTCTAAATGAAAACTACCTGCTTCTCTCTGATCATGATGCCCGTGTGGTCAGCACTGCAAACTCTCCTAACAACAAAAAAACCCTACCAATCTAGATAAAATGTTTTCCAAAAACCATGTTAAAAGTGGAAGACTTTAAAAGACCTCATAAACACAGCAAGGAAATGCCACAGGAGAGATTGTGTTTATAATGCATGACCAAGAAAATGACCCATAC